CTGTCAACTTAGAGTAGTGCCTAAAGATTACTTTGTGCGGCTATAAACGACCGTTAAATGGAATGATGAATTTTTGAAGGATTTTGCAAACGGAAAAAATGATAGTCATGCCGGCCCAGCATCATCAACGTTGAAAATGCCAAGGCACGAAGTGGTTAAGGTTTATGTCTAACGGGTCATTATGTCAGTGTTAAATCCTGCTGTGAACTAGATCATGGAGCTATTAAACACAAGGAGTCAGCACACACAGAGATCAAAAGGGTCAATGACGGCTACCGTCAGCACTGCACGTGCTGCAAGGACAAAACAAATTCAATGCCACTTGTGGGCTACAAGGAATGCTCTGAGATGCATTTGCAAAGGATCGTGAGTACCGCGCATGCGTGTCCGTAACACTTCTGCATGTTCAACATGGCCGCTTTGAGCGTTGAGACGGAAACCATCGACATTGGGGACTTAATTTCGATAAGTTTAGTGATTGTTCTGATAGTCCAATGACAATGAAAGTCTGGTTACGTCTTTACATCCCCAAAACATCTCTCTTAACAATAAACAGAATTACTAACTAATACAAATTTTATTTACCAGTATTTTTATTTTTTAGCCCACTAAGAATCAACAAACCACATCTATGGTCTGGCAATGTTTAAAAGGAGCGTAACACATGATTTGAAGAGTCTTAGTTATGGTCTGGAAATACATGTACATGTACATCAGCTTACATGTATGACCAGTGGGCTATAAATTTGCAGAATCTTTGTTACTTGGACTATAGCTACAGTGCTAATTATATAAATAAGGGCAAAAAACAACCTGTAATCTGAAAGTCTGCAACTCTCAACACTATGTAGCAAGAGTCCAAAATTTGTCTGGTTTGAAGTGCCATTCATAACTACAAAGCACATGACCCAGGCAGCTTAACCCTCCCCATTTGTCAAGAGCCTGTCATGTGGCCAGTCTTAAATACACAATGTAGTTGATAAGCCAGTGGCTGGCCATATATATTAAACATTTTAAATGGAGGTTGTTTTGTATGAACAGAGCCATTTTGTTCAAAAAAGTGTTTCTGAGCAGCTACTTAATTGTGACTGGTGCAATTAGTCAATGCAAAAATGCACTGGGGACACTGCTTGGTTTTGCACCCCCCAAGGAAAAAACAAACGGGTCTGGATTCGGCCTTCTAGCTGGCTGTGTGCCACCTCGTCATGCAGTGTGCCACACATGTGACTATCTCTATATCAGCATACATGTACTGTATAAGGAGAGGATAATACCATAATATGGCTAGAACTTGTGTGAAAATATATTGAACAAAGTTGCTGGAAAATTCTTAATTTTTAGGAAAGAGCTCCAAACACAGACCTCACTTGACACCCTATGCACTAGTTTTCTATACAGTAATATGAGACTGGCCTGAAAAATTCCAAGTATTTTCTAAGTAAATGTTTCAATATGTTTCCTGCTACATTTAACTTTTGAGGATACGTTATGGCTTTTTTTAACAGCAAATATACCACTGTGAAACTGAAATATAAGTAAGAATGATAAATTGTGAGAAATTCTGACTTTCTGACAAAAAAACAACCATACAAAAGTTGTTCCTCCGTGTGTGTTGACACTGACAATTGTTACCCCATAATTATCCTCAAAAATCCAAACTCAGTCCTCTTTCCGCATCTACTCAACACGGTACAATGGCATAACTAAAATTTACGGGGGGGGGGGTTCCCAGTCCTTGTGATTTGGAAATTGTAGGCACGTGAAAAAAATCACTCCTGAATATTTCCAGGTGTGCAATTTTTCTAGGCGTGTGATTTTGAGTTCCAACTGAACAATCTGGTATGGTTCTCACTACATCAAATTCGAGAGCTCACATGAGTGGTTTGTACGTCCAGTTCCAACCAAATCTGTGACATTTTCATCAGAGTCCTTGTAAGGTTCTTCACCTGTGTAATTAATATTTTGGGTATCCAATTATACAGGCATGGATATCTTGCAAGCTTTCTCACAAGTTCAAATTATGTCTGGAGAAGTGTTAATTTGTATTTGGGGAGACAGATCATTGAATCAAAAGTGTACTGGCTGTTACTTTAAAGCTGGCAAATTATGTGAATACACTGTGGATGGTAACATATCAATTTGTCGATGGATTTTGGATTTTAATAAAACGTCCCCTTGCGCTTTCAATGTGTGTAACATGTACTACATGTACAAGCACGTAAAGCCCTGTACAGTCTGGTGAAAGTACATGTAGCTTTATGCAGGCAGCAACACTTGCTTGAAGCGCTGTGTGACGTGCATGTGCTGAATGATTGCGAACTGACAGAGCCGTCGTGCAAAACTGTTTCCTTGGGAGAATCAAAAATGATTCTGTCATTCCTGTTAGGTAGGCCTAATGTTTGATTCTTTTTGTTTCATTTTTCTCACAAATGGCAAAGTATAATTATAAAGTAAACTCATGCGGAGGAGTGCTGTACGGATGGTTTCAGGCATGCAATTATTTGCACTTCTCAGGAAGCTTTAGGCGTGTGATGGCATGGGAGTGCAATCACTCGCCTTAAAATGAAAGGACTGGGCACCCAGGGTGCAAACATTTTTTTAAGGGGGTACCACACGAAAATAAACTGCAGCTGCATTTGAACGGAGACTATTCACAGATTTCAAATGGGGGGAGGGCTAGTCATCCGCTTGTGGGCCATACCCCCCCCCGGTAGTTACGCCACTGACGCAATGTCACCATCATCTGCTTAGGCCAGTCCAGAAATTAAAGGGTACGCCTACAATCTCCCAAATACACAATCCCCAAAATACGCCAGAAATCGACAGAGAAATACCTTCCAAGTTCCTTGCCAATCTTGTATGCCTCTTCGAAAGTCTCCACCTTCTTGGAGTCCTCGATCCACGTGTTGTCAACAGGCCTTGAGCTGGCCATGGCATGGGCGAATCGGCTGCCGCCGTCTGGAGTCGCACGGGTGGAACTCGCTGGCATCTCCTGCCGGAACTATCGCGACGACAAATCTCCGCCCGTACACAGAACTTTGGGACGGTAAATTATAGCATGGAGGAACAAGTGTACGTTATCAACCAGGCCTGTGCAAATTACAAGCCCCGAAAATGTACGTACTTGGTCACTGCCCCTTGTTAAGTGATAAACCGTAAACAGAACTTCGTACTCAGCACACACCACCAGGCATCATACATTCACAGTCACACCGGTTTGTTGTCAAGTAGGAGTTGCTTTCATTTCCAATTCGGTGCCCCGTAACGAGGGTGGTGACGTCATGACCACCTGCTAAAATGAAACTGCGCATGCGTGTTCTGCTCTTTAGTGTACTGTGCATGTACTGAAGTTAGCAGCCACTCACGCATGAAAGCCTTTCTAGGGACATCAACCCGATAGGCCCTTACACACCAACCGACGTGCGGGCCAGGCGCGCGCACTAGTAAAGTTGCACTCGTTTGTATTGTAAAAATAATTAAAATGAAAGCAGACCAGTAAGTTATAACGTAAAACCATTATAACATAAGGTATTTTAATCAAACTTGAAGAATTTGCCAGACCAGATCCTTGTATTAAAAAAATCAAATAATCGTACCGCAGATAAAGAACTACCGTTACAAAGGTCACTTACAAGTTGATTCTCAAAAGTTTAAGAATATTTTTTCCGTTCCGTCCAATTTCGTTCTTGACAGCGATTTGGAAGGCAATACCATGGAGGTGGTAGGTAATACATTTGCTTCAGCAATGAAACCAAATAAGTATGTTTTTAGAGTGTTGTGAACTGTACCGAGGTACTGTACCCTTGTCCAAACTTGTAACTGCAAACGAAACAATAACTCTTTTTTCACAAAGGGTAACTGAGAAGATCTTGCCACAAAAATGTTGTCAACCGTATTGTAAATGTTTTAATGTGGTAATCAGTGTAGGAATACAAATCTGAGTCCTGTATTTCAGAAGAAAATCTTTATTAGTACTTTCTTCTTCTTTTTCTCAACTAGGTGAGTTTTTCTTTGGGAATTTCTTAAAAACAAATCAACCTTCGGTTTGTTAAATTCTTGGTGTATAAAGTTAATAGGGAACTTTTCATTCTAACTTCAGGGTGAAACCGACCTTTGCAGATTGTTTTCTGAATCTTCAATTCCCGGAAAAGGGATTTATGCTGCTATACTCTTCGCTATGGGTAAACTGATACAATAGTATAGGTTCAAAAGTAAAACCTGTTTTTCTAATGTCAACATAGCTAATCAAGAAATCAAAGAAAACATGCATCACTTTTTTTAGTCAAGGTATACATGTATAATTTAACACCTTTCACAACAATAGCCATTTTGTGGACCAGAGGACCTAATGATCTTGACCCCTCAGCATATGCAGGCCTACCGTGACATTTCAATGTGAAATCACCAGGGGCCTATTCACAGAACTCGTGGTAATCGTTACTTCTGTTGATCAAAAGCACATTTCATACCTCAGTTAGGCTAGTGCTTAGCCTGTGCCATACTTTTGTTTCACAAACTGAAATCTTGTAGAGAAAGCCACTTGGTGTGTAAACCCTCCCTCAGAATGTTAAAACATTGTTGATGGGATATACATGGATCTTCACTTTCCTGAAGACTCACGATGCACATTGCAAGATGAACAGCATGTAGTGAGTGCACACTGTTTGAAAAGCTGACACTGACTCCTCACAGAGCCGACACTTGCTCCAAAAGAGGATTGCTTCCATGTACATGCACCTCCAATCTACACCTCTAGGCCTACACATTCTTTCCACTTCTTTACAAATTAATAACAGGAGACTGACTGAATAAATGGCCTAAAAAATTGATTTAAGAGTACATGCCAATAAGATAAAGCTGTCTAAATATAACTTTCTCATTACCACAATCAATGTCGCTGGCTAGTGACAGCAACATGGAGTTTAAAGAAAATGACGTCATTTTAAGTTCCAACAACTTAGGAAGGCTCTGTAAAATACTTGGCCATTTTTACATGATGCATGTGTTAAATCACAACTGGGTGTGAACACAAGACTCAGAGTCTGTTTACTGCCTTACATTCAAAGATTTGCTTGGAGTGAGGGAATTGGTTTCAACAATAGCCCCCTCTAGAACAAGTACACCGTCAAAGATTCGCGCAACCCAACACAGGTGTAGGTGCCTCGGACAGTAGATGCATAAGCAATGAACAATCGGGTGACAGTCTCTGACATGCTGATGGCATGGATGTTGTGCCTTGAATCTGAATGTCAGAAATAAAGCAAGAAAACAAATTTCTGCATGAAAAATCTAACAGTGTGCAGGAGAGACTGACTACTTGTTGACACAATGAACCATTGTGATATTGAAAACGGCAAGGTCATTTGAAAAGAAAGTATGTGTGGGAGTTGGCATGTTGCCATGCTGGAAGGGCAGACCTTCCACACACATGCATTGCTGATCCCACGTGACCTTGATTGGTCAGAATGACTTGGGGCCTGCACTGCATTATAAAGATCAAGTAATTGTTGGCTCAAGTGGTCTATTAACACACAACCTCAAGCTTTAGAATGGGGTCATTCCAGAAATTAAGGGTTCAAAAGTGTGACATTTTTGTGTCCCTGATACATCGGACCTTTATTAGTTGACATGGAAATATCACCGGAAACTACTACTGTTTGTTTGGCAAGTCATTAACATTAATTCATCACTCTTGGAAATTAGAAAAATGTGTTCTGAACTTACAGAATCATATGTCAGATGTGACAGGGACACGAAAAACGTGGACCCCTGATTTCTGGAACTACCCTTTGGTACTTCTTTTCATCGGCTGTCAGTATTTGAGCAGGATTACCCAGCTATTTATCATAAGCCATAAACTAGCGAACCATCTAGCTATGGATTATGCTGTAAGTTACAGTACAATGCATGTTGCAAATCCAAAAACTGGTAATCAGTGATCGTACTGAAGAAATTTCAACTCGTAACGGTGCAAATCCATGTTAGCATCTGTACTGTGGAGGGCAATCCTAAAACCTAAAAAAAAAGATGAAAAAACTGTAAAGCACATTTCTGCATACGAGTGTATACAAACAGTTGTCATAACTGTACTTCTTGGTAATAATTCATCAGTAACCAGCCACTTTGATTGACCACCTGTGACCACGCTTGTCTGAAATGTTACAGTGACCCCCCACAGAAGTTTACAAAATTTTAAAGCCATGATGCTAACATGTAGATCTGGTAGTTTTGAGTCAGTACAGCTAGACACTTATGCATAATCTAAAAAAAGATCCTACCAAAAGGAACCTCCCTGCCATACAGATCCAACCACATGGGCTGATGACCGGGGGTAAGGTTGTAGGTGCAGTCCACTATCTTGCTGTAATCGTCCAAAAGCACCACAATGGTCAGCTCTGCCAATGTGAAGATCAATGAAAAAAAATGGGAATCACAGACATTTTTCTTGTGAAGTACCCAAACTAGAAGAGATGATGGCTGTCACAAGTAGCAGCTGTCTTATTTCTCAACGATGCTCCCAACTTTTCGCCCCTTTTTACTTCTAAGCTCCTTCAGTGAGCTTTCTCTTTACGACCCTTTTACCACAACTGGGTATCGTTATGATAACTGACTTAAATCAGTTTCAATGGGCCTTTTTTTGTCAATAGGACACTGCTCGATTTATGTGGCATACCTTAAACTTGCGTAAACCTTACCTGGTTTGGTGACCGCGTCAACATCACCCAACACGATGGTCTGGTTTGAGTACCGACTAGAACAGGTGTACGTTCCTGCATCCTGGTGATTGGTGAAGTCACTGATGTACAGACGGCTGACTGTGGGTGACAGATTGAGGACTCGCCGACGAGAGGTTGGGTCTATTTACATGTAGATGGGAAAATGCATGCAAATGAATTACATATGTCGCCTATTGCTTCATCATCATCCAAGCACAAAAGCAAAGTCATTGCTACATTATTGAAACAGCCGGCTATTTACTTTGCACTATGCTTAATGAACTTCAATGTTCAGTTGAAGAATGTGCAATGGGACTTTTTTCACCGTGTCGATTTTGTTATGAGGGGGGATTCGTCTGGAAGCGAGGTTAACAAGTAAGGGTATTCACAGAGCTTCCCATCTATCTTACCTGTAGTTTGGACTGGCTCCCCATTTGGTAGATACCAGACTGGTTGGTATTCAGGAAGGAGGATGTAGCTGCAGTCCACGATGTACAGTGAGGAATTGTCAGGTGTTTCTTGAGTGGTGATAGTTATCTCATCCACTGTATGGGAAGCAGATGCCAGAGTTGAATATGTTTTACATCCAAATACTTTGAAACAATTCTAAGCCCAGAATAGAGAAGCCAGGTATAGTTTTAAGGAATTCTTGGTCCTGTCAGTTCTCCAGTCACACTGCCAGTATTGTTGTCGAGTCCTCATCATGGGTCAATTGTAGGGCAGTCTTGAGCCGATAAAAAGGCGTCCATTTGTCATTGTTCATCCCAAACAAGTTGTGACCAGACTCTCGATATGACTTGTGACGGATTCTAAACATGCCCGCAGACAAGATAAAATATCCCCAAGGCCCAACAGACTCAAAATCTGGGGGTTGGTGGCCAACAAAGGATAAACATCCTCGTCTCAAACTTGGTAGTTTACATAGTACATTTGCTGCTGTTTGACTGATTAGTGAAACAAAGTAAAACAGACTTATACAAGTGCTGCAGTTTGCTACGTCTGAAATGGATGGGATTGAGACTACAATAAGATTATGCCGGAGTGGGGTTAAAGTGTGGAGTCAAGCCACAAGCTTCATTCAAGCCAGGACTTAAGACCAATTGTAGACCCACGTGTGTCAGGTCTACTTTAGTTTGCTTTATATGCCTTGGACATGGATCTTGGCTATGCTGCAAATGCAAAACAGAGACACCGAGAGAAAACCTCAGCAGAGGTTGAAGTGGGCATACCATCATAACAAGGGACCTCTCCTGTGGCTGGGCTGAAAATTCCACAGTCTGGATATCTGAACATCCGCCTCCCTGATGTGGACTGCATGCATGCACCGGTGTTTCTCTGGCATAGCTCCCGGCAGGATGCATTGTACAGGGGGGCCGGGACCTCCGCATCCGGGTCGCAGGGGGGAAAGTACACGGTGCAGATCAGTGGTCTGGCGTAGGGACTGCAGAACAGGCTGTTGAGGTCGAGGGAGCTCATCTGCTGTAGCAGGTGCACCGTCTCAGCTACCGATTCCAGGCCAAGTTGGTTGGGGAAATAGGCATGTGTATAACCGACCCCTTCACTACAGAAGCCTTCGGTGATTGGCTGGCATGTACCTGGAACTGTGAAGAAACAGAACACATGGGAAGACGCTCAGCTGGATTAAAAACAGACACTGAAACGGCAGGTTGGTAATCTGAAATGCAAATCTAACTATCCTCTGTTCACATCTTTTCAAATACTTGAGATTTTATATATACATGTACCAGATTATGACAGATTTGGGAAGGTGGATTTAACCATAATTAATCTTACATTTGGACTCATGCTCCAAATTAAAAGCTGAAATGCAAATGAAGAAAAAAAAAGAGATTCTGTACAGAAGTGTCCTTTGGATGGTTTAAAAAGGAATTTTCTAGAAAGGGTCTTTGACGGAGATTTAAGGAAAAGGAACCCAATATTTATGAAGCCATTTTTCCATGTCTACAAATTGTTTCCTCTATGAACTTATGTTGACTTTTAAAAAACACCAAATTTTAAAACCCTGAAACCAGCCCAAACACTGAAGAGATGTGCTGCAAAGAAAAACATTTATCGCATTTCAAACTTCAAAAATCTTGTTTTTAGAGATTTCTTTGAGTCTGATCCAATACCTTTGGGTATCAGATCCTTGCTGAGCGTCACAGATTTCTGCAGACCGTCCACTACGCATGTGTAGTCACCAGCATCTTCCTCCTCTTGAAAGGTATTAATGCCCAACTTGGTGGTCTTGGGGCCAAGACGCTGTGTCTCCGTGACAAATGACGATGACAATCGTCCTGAAACAACCGACCAACACGACAGAGAGGACTCACACTGATTATGCAGTTTGTCATTCCAACTATGCATGGGCTCAACATGATCACTCAATTACTTTCGCTGATATAGATTAACGTATGAAAATCTACAAGGGACGTGATGGCTCAATCTGTATTCAGCAATTGCATGCCCTCCCATTAACAACGTGACAACTTTCTACTCGCACAAAGTCTGCTGCATTCACAACTAAAATATGGTTTTTATCAAAACTCTCCACTTACTTCGCAAGTACCCAGCTCCAGCTCTAGGTTACGACATATAACATCATGACACATCATGAAACAGGCTTCCAGTATCACAGCTATATGTCCACTGTTATGGCTCCAAGTGTTTGCAACCATTAATGATCGATATACCTGGCACGAGACTGATGCAGGAAACAATTGGATGTTTATGGTTGTGAACTCATTCACAAGACTTAGAACAGCAGTCCAAGTCCATCACAAGTCCTTTCACAAGACTTGTCACAAGTAACAGGGCAAACAATGACAAAGGAATGCTCATTTGAATAGCTTGTGATTTGGCGGAAGACTGGACGACTTGTGATGGATTTGAAGCGACTTATTATGGACTTGACTACACCTCCACTGAAAAGAGAAAAACAAGCGAACATACCTGTTGGTATAACTTTGCCGTTGGGTAGTTTCCACCTGGGGCTCCTCCTCTTTGGAAGCAGCGAGGTACAGTTGACTTCAACATTTATGACCGCGCCAACTCGCTGATACCCAACAGGGTCGATCTTCACACCTGGAATGTGCACAATCAGATAATGAAGAGCAGTTAACAGTATTCCTTGCATATATAGACACAAATATTTCCTTCTATATAGCGACTACCCATTGTATTTCCCTGATTTTCACATTGGTGTAAAAAGAGTACTTTGCAAAGACTGAGAATGAAAAAATGGTCTTTCTGTGCTGGGGATAATGACCATTTTTAATATTTTTGAAAAACATACATTGCAACTGATGAACCCTTGTGATTGGCACACCTGAAAATATAACAAATAACAGTGCAGCCAAAGGATCTTAACAATGACTGCTCAAACAAGATTTTGGAACTCTTCCAAAATGTCATTAATGTAAAGCTTCAAATATGTGTTATCAAAACGAAAGGTGCTGGACATTCTATGTACAATTTTCTGTTTATTAGCTGAATGTGACGCAGTGAATATTTCAAACAACTTCAACAAATCTTTCAGGCTGCCAGAAGGTCATGGTTGTGAATGACATTCAGCCTAGAATGTATACGTAGATGGCATTACAGCTCCTGTGGGTCAAACTTATCGCGCAATAGGTGCTGTTTCTGTCTTGGCTCAGAAGTAACTATTTGAGCTCACCGCTGAAGCAGTTGTTGTCTCTTTGCGACGGCAGGTCCTCACAGCCCAGGTCCGCACCCAGCTCATGCAACGCTTCCCTGCAGTCGGCTTGAACCTTCTTACAGAGCTCACGGCATGGTGCAGGCGGCTCCAGGCTTGCTCCCTCTATGCACTCTGGGTAGCGGTGGGCACAGGCTACCATCTGCAGATAGGGGGAGCAGTGCTTAGCTTCCAGCATCTCTGGGATGGAGCTTGCCCTTGGGGATGTGCTTGGGTTGTACAAGTCATGTCTCCAAGTCATGCTGTAGCCAAGCTGGGGGAGACAGGTTGCATCTTGGACCTCAACACAGGAAGGTGGAACTGCCTCTGAAAACATAAGCAGTTGTGATTCAAGCACCAAATGAACCACTGGATTTGCCAAAAGACACAATGGTAACAAAAACACCAGCTTCAGTTTAGGTCTGGGCATAGCTTAGGGATTTTGAGGTTTAGTTTAGGGGTTTGATTTTTGGTTGGGGTTCTGGGTTGGGGGTTGTAGGGGTTTAGGGGGGATTGGGGTTTGGATTTGGGTATTTGGAGTTGGAGTTTTTGGACTTATGTCTGCGACTTTTGGGTTTGGGATTTTAGGTTTAGGTTTGGAGAAATAAAGAAAAAACCTTGTGACAAGCTTATGTTCGTGATGTTGACAGTCTGTGAGAATGAGCCATCAGTACAGGTATAGATGCCAAAGTCTTCCACTCGGAGGCTATTAATGATGAGGCGGCTGGTGTGGGAGTCTACATCTTCGACTTCAAAGCGCCCACCAATGGCTGCAAAGAAACAAAGTATATGATTCTCAATGTGACAGATAGATGAGATTGGGAATCTTCAGAAGTTTTAAAATGGTCAGCAGATAAGCAAATTACATTAAAAGAAGTGGAACAAAGTCCAGTGCAAGAGTCGAATAAGAATGCGAGAAAAATGGAAGAGAATCATGGATCAAAAGTTCATACTTCGAAAGCAAACTATCAAACTAAATTGTTTACAATGCAATAAAATCCTTCCCCTGATGCCTTCTCATAGAAATGAAAAAGACTGGTAGACCAAAAGCAAAAAGCGTGTATTTTGGCTCATAGCATAAGCCTGTGGGTGAAGTGTTATAAAACAAATATTGACTGCTGTATCTCTTGGTATCAAAGTACAACTAGTCTTCCTCAGTGATCCATGAAGCATTCTATTTTCCCTCAGCTTTGCTTCAGGAAAATAGAATGCTCCGTGGATCACCTTGGGAGGTAGTTTTACTACACTACTTGAAGCAGTCAATATTTGTATACTACCCTTGGCACAATGCCTACTGTGCCTAATGGATAATCTGACTCCTGTTAGGACCCGACCCTGCTTTGATGGTGCCTTGGTTGTTGAGACCTACCTAGGGGCAGATCTCCAGGCCCCAGCCACTGGGCTGGACTGCTTGCTGAGTACTGGCATTCCACCTTGACCTGCTTTCCTACCACGGGAATGGTAAGGACTTCGACTGGCCCGACCTCCACACCTGATGAAAATCAGTGGAAGAAAGCACAGCGTTTCGATGAACCAGTCTGATATTTCAAAGAGGAAAGATCATTTGAGAATAACGGGCCTAAAGTCAGGCAAGTTCCACGGATGTTTAGTGCTTGTGAGTGGTTTCTATAGTCCCTCGGGGCCAATCTCACATGTGCATACTGATGTTCCCAAACGACCAAGAATATTCTACAGAAATACAGGCTCATTACCTGACCAGAGACGGGGGGGGGGTGTCACACCCTGTTGGCACTTTGAACATATAGTTTTATACAAAGGCCTATCATAATTACTATATCAAAAATACAGATTTATTAAAAGAAGAACCATTGCACGAGAGGAACTCAGAAGTGAGTGTGTGTGGGGGG